GTCCTGGTTCTCCTCTGCCTGATAGGAGCTCTGGTTCACAGTCACTACAAATGTTGCTGCTGAGGAGACACAGAGGAGGAGCAGCAGGAGCATCTTCATCCTGCAGGGAGAGAGAGGAGGAGACACATCAGCTCAGAGACCACTCAGGACACAAGAAGGAACATGTCCTCTCCTCACAGCTCAGTGAGACTCTCACATTAATGTTGAAGGGATTCTGGCTCAGAGGAAACATGAAGACAAAAATAAAGCAGAATGACTAAAAACTAGTGAACCTTAAACACACAGAGGCTGATATGAGAGTTTTATTGTGCGACTTGTGTTTGTTTTCTGTTCATCAGATAAATGCTGTAACAGTCTTTAACTGTCAGTTCCTCCACGTGCTTCCTCAGTAAAACCGCTCTCCTTTTCTTCAACTGAAAAAACACACACCACACCTTCAGTTGGCAGACCACTCCTCTGTAAACAAACAGGATTGTTTGTTTTTACTTGGTATCAAACAGAAGCTGGTCGGTTGGAGACAAGAGGACTGGTAATTTTAGAAAACAAACAGGAGACAAAAAATTAAAAGTTTGCTTTAGACACATTAATGAGTTAAAGAGAAGAAATCCTCACCTTCATTAGGAGGAAAGACCAAAGCAAGTGAAGAAAAAAGAAAACAGCTCAGATCAGAGGTGAGAACACATGAAACATAAACCAAGAGTTTCAGAATTACATAAAAAAGGATAAAACTTCATAAAAACACAAAAACCTTCAGAGCCTATAAGAAACAAACTAATGTTCTGATATTTATAATGTTTTTTTGTTCACTTTTATTTTCTGTTTATATCAAAAAGGTTCAAAGTCCAAAATATGAAAACATCAAAAAAGCTCATGTGATCATATAAAATATTTAAAACTACTCAAATAAATGTCTTTTTAACTGTAACATGATTCAGTTTAATTAAATCCAAACGACTGTTTTCACAATAAAATTAATTTTGTTTATACATCAAAAGCTACTTTGTTAATAAAAAAACTTTAGAGAAAAATATTAATCAAACTCCTCCATTTCTCTCTGTGACAGGTTGTAAGTTTTTTATTGAATTAAAATAAGCAAATTTATGCAAATAATCAAACCGTTTTCATTGTTTCAATCTAACTGCCTTTGGCTTCAGTCCAGTCCTGTACAGGTCCTTTTATGTCTAAATAACATTTACTGTGGAGCTAATCTGCAACATTAAATCTGTTTGATAGCTGCAATATTTCTAAATAAAGTCTATTCTGTTTATCAGGATTGTGATGATAAAAACTGAAGTTTAACTGAACAAAGGTCCAGAAGAATCACAATAAATTCAGGAAGCACAAAGAAAATTGACTTACTTTAGTGAAAACTGCTGGTTCCAGCCTGTTCTTCATCTTTTATTTATCATAAATCATCTCTCATGGTCTCAGCTCTGATCAGAACATTGAATATAATAAATTGTCAATAATGAAAGAGCCTGAAGAGGAAACACTGAGGCTCCGCCCACGACCACCCTCAAACTAACCAAACAAAAGAGCAGGTGGTCCTTTTGAATCTGCTGCTAAACTTCACCAGAAACAAAAAGAGTTGAGACGATGACCAACAAACTAAACAAATATAAAAAACTGAAGTTCTTCTGAAGTGATGATTGTAACCATCTGAACACAGCATCACGGTGAACAGAAACAAAAAAAAAGTTTTTATTTCAGCCATTTATTGTTTGATTCTGTTAAAAACATAACAAAACAACAATTTAAGATAATAAAGAAAAAGTTACTTTTATTTAAAAGTTCTGCCAACGGCACGAGTAAAAAAGATGGAGGTCAAGTGCAGATTTTAAAGCAGACCTCAAAGTTTTCTCTATTTTAAACTTAAAACCATTTTTCAAATGTCTGGTTTACATTTTTAAAACCTCAGATTCTTCTCTACAAATTAACTGTTAGGCAGTTTGTTTAGGAAGGTGATGAAATGTACTCCTACAAGAACGACAAATGTTTACATTAATACATTTTTATCATACCAAACACAAAAATGACTGTAATTTATTAAATTTAATCAAGTAAATAGATTTAGTTATTTGCTGCAAACAATATGAGCACTAAATATGGTTAAACCTCTTATAATTAACATTCAGTCATAAATTTAATCCAGTCCAACTGGTAATTTGTATGTTTTTAACACATTAAAGCCCAATAATAATAATTAGTAATTAATTAGAAGTAATTAGGATGACTTCTTACATTCCCCCCACCCCCTCTCCAAATACACTATAAGACATACCAGAAACAACACAAACAAGCCCCGCATGGGACCTACTGTACAACCTGGGATGACAGGGTCCCATTTGCAGGTAGGACCCCTTTTTCACTTAACAGGAGTCGAGATCTGTGAAAAAGTCCTGTGAAACTGATCAAATGCCTTTCCAAGTACACAAAACCCATGTAGACTGGATTAGCAAACTCCAATGACCCCTCGAG